CCCGCGCGGCCCGTCCCGCCCTGCCCTTCCTGCGGCCCGCGCTCCGCCGCGCTCGGCTGCTACAGATGTGCGCTTCTGAATGGTTTCAATAAAATTTTATAGCCGTCATTTGAAAAATGGTAGGATTATTGTGATTTGTGCAGCCTGGCAGAAGAGAACCCGCCGGGGCTGGCCGCGGCCGCTGCTCCCCCTGCCGCGGGCTCCCCTCGGGCACGGTGTGCCCCACCGCGGTCCCAACGTGCCCGGTGGCACTGGCGCTTCCAGCCTTTTTCTTTTTCTTTTTCTTTTTCTTTTTCTTTTTCTTTTTCTTTTTCTTTTTCTTTTTCTTTTTCTTTTTCTTTTTCTTTTTCTTTTTCTTTTTCCTTTTTTTTTTTTTTTTTTTTTTTTTCCCCTTTTATCAGATAACGTGTCTCATCGTGATTCTGTAAGAGTCTGTCTCTATGTTTTTTTTGTCCAGGCCTCCCGACGAGCCCCCGGGCACTCCCTGCTCCGCCCCGGGGCCCGCAGCCCGCCTGGTCGGTGAGGGGCCACCGGGTGCTGCTGGAGCTGGATGCTTGCGAGTGTTTGAGCACCAGCGTGAAAGTAGCAGACATAACAACACAGGCAGGTTTTGTGAGAGGGCAGAAGTACCTCCGTGGCTAATAGCTGCTTTTTATACTGCTGCAAGCTTTCAGTGCTTCCAAGCACCCTTTTGAAGGCATACAGACACTGAGTACCACAGGCAAATGTTATACGTGTCTGTCTCCGTAAAATACATGACGCATGTACAAGAGAGAGCCTTTTTTCTTTTTTTTTTTTCTTTCTTTTTCTTTTTGCTTACCGTATCACCTTGTCTCTCAAGGACAACACGTTGCTAAAATGCAGGCAGAGATTTATTGAAGGGACAAGAAAGACTTTACTCCTCCTGCTTTTCTCCTCCTCAGTTCACGTCTCCCACTCCTCTGCCAGTCTGGCATCTCTTGTGCTCCACTGTGAGCTGGAAGGATGTAAGCAATGGAGCAAGGAGAACGTCTTGCCCCTGCCCCTGTCTGTAGATTGACATGGGGGAACACAGCCCCTGTGGTATGATGGCCTGCTGTTGGGAGACAGCAGATGTAGTTGCCTTCATTACTTGCCCCAGAATAAAGGCATGTTGTCGCAGTCACCATAGCCACTGGGTTGCTTTCTCTGTCTTTCCCCTTTCTGGAATGTCCTGGAAAAGAGCCTACAATGAAACCTGCACAGTAAAAGCTTTCTTCCTTATAATGGTTTGATATACAGTGGATTCCATGAATAGAGATAGCAATAGTCTTCTTACCCTGAGATCTTGTGGGGACTTGCATAAAAAAATTAAAGTCCTCAGAGTGCTGCAGTGGGCTCTGTCACGCCTGCAGTATGTGCTGCAGTTTCCTGCTGCACTCTAGCTTTGGTTTAGAAGCACTGCTGCTTCACCTGGGAGCCAAGGGTTGGTTGCTGGACCCTGATTCTTGGCAGTGCTGAACCAAAATGACTCTTCTACCTTAAATTTTGAAGGAAGTGTGGTTCTTCTTGGTCTGAGTTATTACCATTGCACTTTAAATAACACAGCTGCTACTGCTAGGTGCTACTACTGCACCTACTGCTCAGACTACTTTTTGTCTTGTTTAGAATTTCAGTCTCATGTGCAGCTTTGGAGAAGAGGATTAGGACACTTAGGAAGGTTTAAAATTTCTATGCTTAGGTTGATTTCAGCTATCTGAATGGACTAATAATTATCAGAAATCATTTAATAAATTGAGTGGTGAGACTTAGGTACTGAGTGTGTATACTGATTTGTTACCCAACTGGAAATAAAAATTCTCACTATGCTGGAAATTCATAGCTAATGACTAATACTATAACCAGTATTAGACCTAACTTAATCTAGTCTTTCAATGCTTGTAATAAATGCACATTCCTCTTCAGAGTTAATTTTCAGGGTGCTTATAAACATCACGGTCAGTTTATTCCATTTACTCTCTTGCTTTGTGGTGGATAAGACTTCGTTAAAATTATCTGTACTCAGTATGTGCCTATAGAATCATCCAATCATGTAAATTCAGGGGCACTATTTTTAATCAGACAATATAATTGGTACTAATCTTGAAATAAATGGTGCTCCTGAGAAGCAGGAGCTCCTGTCTTCTCCGGAGCACCATCTGTGTGGCTCACATGCAATCAGCAATATTTATATTAAATGCTATATATTCTGCCTCATCTACTGTTTGATTTCCTCTCTCTGAGTCTCATGCTATGAACCAAAAGAGGAATCACAACATCCAAGTTCTGACAAGTAATTTCTTCCCCAGTCTGCTGTGTATACCTTGTTAACGCAGCTTTGTTCAGTCCTTTTGTCAACATTCAGTGCTCATAGTACACCCAGTCTGCCCAGTGCAAGGTCTTAAGCTCAATTTTCATTATAATTTCTATGAGGCTTTTTATATCTCTCCCTCATATTCTCTAAAACTTTGCTGTTTTCTCTATTTCATCACAGTCATATGGATCCCACATTGTCTTGTCCCAAAATATCCCATTGGATTATTCCCAGAAACTGTTCTGCTACTCAGTTACCAGAAGACTACTCTCTAATTGTTTTGTTTGTTTGTTTGTCTGTTTGTTTGTTAGTTTTAGGTTTTAAGAGGTAAAATCTTACTCTTTTGTCTAAAAAAAAAAATAATTTAAATTGAGCATACATTTTTTCACATTGCTATTTTGCTAACAAATGTGCTTGTTCTTTCTTTTTACTTACATGGTAAGGGGTTTGTAAGCAAGCTGGATGAATTCATTCACTGGTTAAATGAAGCCATGGAAACAACAGAGAACTGGACTCCTCCTAAAGCAGAGACAGACAGCCTTAAACTGTACCTGGAGACACACTTGGTAAGACAAGATTACACTATGATTGCTATCAGTAATTGAAGTGTTCTGCTGTGCTTTTCATTTGATTATTATTTTTTAATTACTAGTGTGCATCTATATTTTAATGTAAGATTTGCAGCATTACAGTTTATTTTAATGAAAATACCAGCACATTATTTTCTGTACTTGAAATATGTACTGATAACTTTGTAAAAATTAAATTAAAAGGAGAATCACGTTATGATTCAGAATTTATATGCAAACTGAAAGAAAAGACAATAACAAGAGAAGAAAATATATTTTTTCTGCTGATAATTCTAGGATTTCTACTACATTGTAACATTAATGAAAGTGTTATTAGTGAGGAACTCTTATTTCTCTCCCACAGTTTTAGCATAGCACAGTGTCATTTAAATAAAATATTTGAAATAGTTACTTCAATTATTGTACTTGATGTGCATTTCTGTCATTTAATTAATACAGATTTTATACTGTAGGTAGAAAATAGAGCTCAATGTGTGCTGTTCAATGGGTAGATATCTTGATAGGTAAACTACTCTAGCTGGTAAAAGGAAAATAAGAAAAGTACAGAAATTTAAACTAGGAAATTTCCTCTATTTCTGCCAAAATCTTAGGTTGGTTCTTACCAGTACGAAATGGAAGAAAATGTGGTGCTAGCACTGCTCTGAGCCAATGACCTAGACACCCCAGCTGTATGAAACAGTACATTTGCTGAGTCCACATCAGATCATCAACCCCCAGAGCTCAGCATCATTTCCAGTCTCTGATAATCTTATGGTAGAAAATTATTTGACAGTCCCAGGAAGTCACGTGATGCATTACAGGAAAAAATGTCATCTTAATCCCTACCATAATACTGGGGCAACCATTATTAAATTAATTAACTATACATCAACTACATATACAATTAAAACCAAACTGAAAACTGTCTTCAGGATTTCAGCTATACAGAAAGCTCTTGTGTCTTTTGTCCTTAAACATTTCTGCTGTAGTAGTGCCTGTGTGCCATCACTGTGCCCATTGTGGTGGTCTAACAAATGCAGTATGAAGACACTTCATTTTTCATTATGTTGCAGATTTTGTGTTTCTTGGCAGAGTTTTTTGCCTTGCCTTCTGCACACACTCAGTCCTATGATTCCCATTGTGCTTACAGGTGCTCTGAAGGTACAGAGCACATGGTGAAATCAGACCTCAAGAAAGGTATTGGTCACTTCAATATGTTTTCTTTGTACTCTGCAACATGAAACTTTTGATGAGAAGCTTTTATGAGTAGAATCACAATTTTCACTCTTGACTGGATTAAAAGAAACATATTCCAGGTAAAAGGGCAATCACTAGGCTGAGTAACTCTCACAATCAGTTTCCTTTCCCCTTTATTCCAAGGGGAGGAGCACAGTCGCTCATAGGCAGACAAATTACTTCCAGCTTTGCCATGTGGTTCTTGGGGAGGTGAGGCCAAACCCATCTATATCAGACGGGAATGTGGAATAGCAGCTCAGAGGCAACTTCATCATTGGTAGAGGTAGACTGAATAAATGAATATGTGGGCACTTGTACAACCTCACTTTCCCCTATCAGTTAGACTCCCTCTGTGTGTCTGGGGTAAAAAAAATCCTCATATGCTTCAGGATCATTATGTTATGAAAAAAACTGAGGATTATTTTGCTTCACTGCAGAAGTAAAATATCTAAAGAATGGTTCAGTTTCTATTTGACAATATTTTAATTAATTTATGGCATCTATATCCAGTGAAAACACCACTGAATAAACGGAAAAAAAAAATAACTGAGTTTTGCTTCTTGGATTTCAGAAAATGTATGCTATTATTTCTACACAGCAGAAAATACAGAGCATTTTGTAACATGGAAGATAGTTACTTGTATTAACTAGATTGTCAGCTTTTCAGTGGCTTTTATCTGTCAGACATCCTAATCTGTGTTTAAACAGAAGTATATGAACTTCAATTCATGTTAAGCTCACTGTTGAAATTTCCCTTAGTTAAGAATTGTAAGGCCATGGTGATCATGGTTTATGTGAGGGACTTACACTTCTCATTTTCTTCTTTCGCCAGTCAGGTTATACATGTCAGACTCACCTAAGATATGCTGAAAAAAAGGACTTAGAACTTTACAAGATTAGGTTCCAGACTTAGGGGTTTATAATACGGGTACAGGTAATAAACTAGCTGGGAAAATAAAGAAAATGTCTTGGTTGTTTCCTATGTAATGCGTCTACACCAGCATATCTCATAACTGTTCCCTCACTGGTGCAGGTTTTCTCATCATAGAATGAGTGTATTATCTTGGTGTAGACCAGTATTTTTATTTGTAGAGACATATCCTTACCTTTGGCACAACTTACCAATTCCGTGAACTGTGATGCTGATGTCTTTGAAATACATTTGTTGTGATGACAAAATTAGTGCCATAAAGGGAGAATATTTTGCATTTATGAATGAAACCTCTTCTGTCAAAATTTAAGAAAAGAAAATAAGAGGAGCAAGAAAACACAAAAAATGTACCTGTTCCCTTTGTCATTGGTTGAGAAAAGTTCTGCACAGGTGACAAGGAGAAGGTTGTGAACATCTCCCAAATTTTTCAGTATGTAAAATTGTAGGTTGTCACTTTAGGATTCCAATGTAAACTGTTGATAAAGGTTTGAATTTTAAAATCCCTCTCTACTCTGCCTTGCTTGTCTCTGACATTTCAAGAAATGGTGTGGCACAGACACATAAATAGAGTGTGTTTAAAAAACAAGGCATCACTAGAAACCTACAGCATAAACTCATGAAAATCTTTGCATAAAATAATGCTCACATAAGGAGTCAAATCTCTTGAACAGGATGGCAATGCAAGTCTCTATTACAAGTGTCATAGCATGCCATCAGCTTAAATTGATACAATTCGCCAAACACTTGTTCTTGTTAATTCTTATACCTGGCCTGGCAATACTGTCCAGAAAGATGTTAATCAACACTTTGAAGCACACAAATAGTGTTTGTCTATTGCTCTCGGCTCAGCAAGAACTGCCTGCAGAGGTATCTCTGTAAGTGTCTGAAGTTCCACCTGGACAGCTCCTGAAACAGTGAAGCACACTGTGGTGAAGGTGGAAGGCAGCCTCTCCTCAGTTCAGTCTGTTTTCCCCAATTATCTCATCTGCACAGAGACTACCTGGGAAGTTCCTGGGCCACCAAGGGAATTTATAACTAAATGCACTGGTGTGCACACAGGCATGGGCCTGATACCCAAATACACCACAATTATGATTTTTAACTATAAGACCGGGAATTTAATTCTTAAATCACTGTTGCAACTTAAACTCCGTAGATTTTGCCACGATGAGAAACCACAAATTTTGCTAAAGAGTATGAATTTTTTCTACATATTGGAAAGTAGTCTACATGCTGAATGTGTGCTATAATAGACAATCTTCAGCCTAGAGAACAGTTTTCTTGCAAATTTTAAAACCAAGCTCCCTAATGTTCTGAAGAACAGAAGTTGCTATATGCTTCATTTTAGATAACACCAAAGCACAAATCTATAAATGAAAATGCTCTCAGAGATCCCTGGAATGGTGACTGAAATTATTCTTTCAATTTTACAGGTCTTCACAACTCAGTAATATTGGTTAAACTGATTTGGGAGCTGTGTGCTTCCCATTCATATGGAAGAGCTTACATGGAACAGGCACCCCTTGAACATCTGGCACTCTGCAGGCAGCCACCCAAGCCAGCAGATGTCGAAAACACTAATATGTTTTCAAAAAACAGGCGTGTTTTTCAGCAGAAATCTACTTTTTTACAAAGGTCTCAGTCAGCACTATTAGAGAAGAAATGAAGCAGGTTTTGAATTTTTTGAACAATTACGTTAAAATCAGTTCCTAATGAAAAGAAAGCTTCATTTACCTTAGCAAAAAGGAACTTGTGAAAATGGTTTCTGATTCACTTTATCTTTTGTATCTCTCCTTTTCTGTTATGCTGATTCTTGCCCATTGGCACCCTGATCAAAATCAGCTACTAGCAGACTCTAAGCATAGACTTGGTGGTATGCAAATCAGTTTTCATCAAAAACAGTATCCTGAAGGCAGCTTATGAGCTAAAAGCATCTGTCTAGGTGGTACTGCTGTGCTTGTGAAACCAAGCAGACTTTCTAACCAGCTTGACAAATAAGAATTCACCATGTATCTCTTGACCATTTTAGTTTGCTAAAAAAGGCATTTAACTTTATCCATTGCCTGATAAGATACACTGTTTTAGCACAGTAAAGAAGTAAGCTAGCTGCTGTGAAGAACTGCCGAGGAAAAGGTTTAGACAAAATGTACTGTGTATATTTGCTGAGGCCCTGAACTTTTAATTCTGTAGTCTTAACTTTTTAGTAGTCTTCTAATTCTATAGTCTACTAATTCTGTAGTCTTAACACAGTACTTTGTTTTCTTGTTGCTGCACAGCTCCTACTTGTGCACTGTAGTGTGGTGTGCACTTAGGTCATTTTACTAAGCCATTTATTTTGTCTGGAGTCATAATTTAGGCTGGGGAATACAAGAATTTTAAATGGGATCATGCAAATGAAAAATGTCATAATTTACACTTACTTAGGTGCAACTTTTTAAATACTTCTTGCATTATTACTAGATGTTGGCAAACAACATTTTTTCAGTAGACATAAAACTAAGATAAAGTCTTAGAATTTTGGAATTAGTAGTCAAGCATTTTTTGTCCGTTTTTGTCCAGTAAGACTGTCCTACTTGTTTCTTTTAGGCAAAAATGTATGTTCTGTTTAGCTGAAACTAGAATAGCAAATATTGTTCTGTAAAAAAAACAAGTGGTGAGGATTGCATGTAGTTATTGCAGTAAAAAATGTGCTTTGGATATGCTGACTGATAATTTCCATGAATAGCAATTTCTTAGTTTTCTCTTCAGATCTCTGTCAGTAATATTTACTCCAATTTAGTCACAAGCTTTGTGCCACATTAAAATCCTTTTTAGCCCAGAATCAGTTTAT